ACTCGGCTCTCTGTGTTTCTGGCATTTACGCGCTAGCGTGTAACGATGGCTATCAGTACGGCAAAAGTAAATATTAGCAAAGTATAAAGCTATACGAAGTGAAAAATATCTCTTTCAGGAATGCAAACTTCTTAAACTACTTTTCGATTTAAGTGATATATCTCTTTCACTTATGTTTCCATTATATTTTCTTTATGAATATAAATATATATGTAAGTATATTCAACAAAAAAAAATATATATATAGGAATATATTCCATTCATGAAATTATTGTATATATTCATATATATTCCATTTACGTAATATTTTCTCCATAATCCTTTTTTGTCTATTATTTGTATTTATCGTTTTTTTTATTATCTTCACACAAATAATCAGTTTTAGAAGAAACGGGCAATTCAACTGTATAATATATTAAATGATAAGGAAATTGTCCTTTTACACAATTAAAAATTCATGCTTCTCCTAAAATCCTGGTAACATAAAGCTAGAATAGAAGAAAAGAAAATAAATACAGGTAACAGATGAAAGAATCAATAAATACGAAAATCTCACGCGGATAAAACAGTAAAAGAAAATAAAGAAAAATCACTAAAAACAGAAAAGAATATATTTGATTAATTACGTATATCTGTCTTTTTTTTTACAATCCTGCCCGTTTGTTGGCCATCGTTACGTATACCGAGGCTCGACGATAGACTGAAAATTTTCTCTCACGCACGCGAGAGAGCGTGGGCCTTATAATCTCAATCTAATAAGCTCGACTTTCCGGCAGAGAATAGCAAACAATCTCGCTTGAAAAAACACTTTAACCATTTACCGTACTATCCCGTATAAACCGTGCTTATTATCCACAAACCCGCTGGCGCTGGCGCGACTTTGGCGCGCGCTAAAGTTAGAGCACGGCGTGCGGCGTGCGGCGTGCGGCGTGCGGCGCGCGACGCCAAGCTGAGCCGAGCCGAGCCGAGTCGAGTCGCGCCGCGCGGATGAATGAAGGCAGCTGGCAGATAAACGTCCGAACAATCGCGTCATTTTGTTTTCGCGCGCGAATAAATAATTCTCACGCAGCGTAAGCTCCTGTCTCGTCCCGTCCCGTCTCGTCTGTTTTAAAGGTCCGTCCGTCTACTGCAAACTGCAAACTAGCGCAGACGCAGCCACCGGCCTCCCAAAAATATCACGCGGCGTGGTGCGAGCGCATGTTGAAAATCCGCGCTCTGACGTAACGCACGTGCGCGCGTATGCCCGCGGCGATCTGCCGAGCGGCCGAGAGATGCGATTTATCACGCGCGCGCGGATGCGGCGGATATTATGGAAGAGCGCGGCGTCCGCGTCGGTTTCGCCGAAGCCCGAAGGTCGGAACTTAACGCGTCTCGGAAATTCCGGTAAAAGGTTAATTCATCAAGACACAAAGCCTAACGCGCATTTTCAGTTTTATGAGACGCGCCCGAGCGTTTAATTTTGCATGTCGCGGCTTAGGAAAGACTCTTCGGTTTTTGTTAAAAAGAAAATTAAAGCTTCAATTTATTTAAGAGTGAAATTAAGATTGCGCGATTGAGAATGTCTATTTCCCAATCGAGGGAAAAAAAGATGTTTACACAGGAAAAAAGAATATAATTCTTGATTTTAAAATATTTTTAGTTTCAACGTGGAAAGCTTGAAATGAGATTAAATTGCGTTAAGTGAAAAAAACTTAGTTAAATGGTAACTTTATATAGTTTCAACCAAGAAAAAAAGTTGAGATAAAACGTTGAGATTCTTATAAGAAGATTATAGATTGTTGCGTATGTACGAACGCAATAAACGCATTAATTTGAGTATATAAGTTTTGATTTACACTTCTTTTTTTCTGTGTATAAGATGTATAATAAATAATCCTGCAAGTCATCAGAATTAATAAACTCAAAAGGCGATAACAGCAAGATTAAAAAGAGATCCATATTAATGAAGATATAAATAATTATCGCATGCGTGCTCGCCTATCCTTCTCTCTGTATTCGAGACCCCCGGTCCTCCTTGTCCCCCCTCCCCTCGCGACAAAAATGCGGAACGTGCGATATTACGTATTATGCAAATATCGCGTATCGTAGCGGAAACGAACGCGTAAAGGAACAATGCGCTGAATGAAAGCTCGATAATGAGCCACGTGCCGAGTATGTGTGTCAACGCGGAACCTCTCGCCCTTTGCCCGCCACCTCCCGCATATAATCCGGCGCGCATGGAAACCTTCGTATACCGGAAGATACGTCCCGAACGTCGCGCCCACTCGCTACATTGTAGGCACGACCGATTATCCCCGTTTATCCCCGAATTTAATCGCGCCAATCTAAAATTTCAATTAATTAAAGTTGATCGACATTTCCGAGTATCTCGAACAGATCGATTCGCGCGCCTAATATTTAAGCGGCGTATACTCCGAAAGAAAAAAAGAGAGAAACAGAGAGTACCGGCGTGCCGAGGCGTGGACGGTACTTCACGGTCATCCCGTGTGAAGCGCGCGCGCGCGTGTGAAGCTCATTCAAGTGCGGTGCGAGTTAAGCGAATTTATTGTGCGCTTGATATCGCCAGCCGTCCCCTCCCTCCCCCTCCCCCGCGCTGCTTCGCGAGATCGTACCCGTCCATTTGTCGTCCGGTCCCTCCCTCGCCCCTTCTTCCTTTCGGCACACGAAATGATCATTGCGAACGTGCACGCAACTACATCTTACACAGCCGCGCGCAATGAAAGTGCTGATTGCAAAACGCGACGCGTAGTAACGTAACGACGCAGGCCTGGCAGGCCCGAATTTTACGCCCCGACTTCACCCCCGCGCTCTCGCCGACGTCGAGCGACGCGCCCCCGCCGATATTTTAAATTATTTCTCACGCAATTCGGCGTAATTCTGGCAAGTAAAACAGACGAGTTTGAAATATTCAAATGTTTCAAGTTATATTAAAATAAAAATTTTGAAATATTTGATAGTAAGTCAATTTATACGTGTGGTGTTTGATTTGCGAGAGAGTAAAATTCTTTGTTAAATGAGAACTCAAAAATTTGCTCTCCAATGCAATGCGAAATTTTTTAAATATAAAATAGCGATATTTATTTGTTTGAAATAGCTGAAACATTTTAAAATAAACGTGCATCTTTAGTTTTGTAAGTATGACAACCGATTACGTATCATTTTCGATGTTTGGGAGTAATTAAAATACTTGGTTGCAAGGGTGTGGTATCTTTATCGCTAAGCGTTGTCGAGTATTCGACCTCTATCTAGACGTATATCAGCTTCTCAGAGTAAAGCGATGACCAACGCTCATAGGTGGTAACGTCAAGTGGTCGTCGTCGCGAGGATTTATAGCTACGAACGGGAGTCTTAAAATTCTGACCGTGCTTACCTAAAAGCTTCTCGAGATACTGACATCTGGTTTCGGGATCACCTGGGCTCATCGGTGCCCCTGCGACCAGCTCGGCCAGCTCCGCCTTCACCATCAGGTTCAACCTGGCCGAGATCTCCTCGAGACCCGCTGCAACAAAATTGCGATTCATCAGTCAGTGATCTCATAACTTCATCAAACGTGACAGTAATTATGAAAGTGGCCTAAATAAAAACTATTAAAAAATTAAATTTATTACTTATGTGTAAATTTAATACAAACGCAAGAGATTTTAATCTACATATGTATACTTTTACGATTTTTTAAGTATATAAACTGTTGTACTAAACGCGTTAAAAATTTTACTTAAAATCAGAATTAGATTTTACAATTATAAAAACTATAAATTATAATTTTGAAAGTATCATTATCTTCAGGGCACAAAGGTTTAAAACTAAAATTAACTAATAATAAGTTTCGATATAATTACACGCAAAATGTATCTATTATGCAAATAAAATTATTGACCTAGAGAAAATAATTAAATTTTTCTTTTAAAATCATAACAATTTTGTAAAGAATTGTTCGAGATGCAAATTATAAATTCTTCAAATAACAAAAATTATATAAATGTTATCACTCTCTCTCTCTCTCTCTCTCTCTCTCTCTCTCTGCAGCCTGAAACTTGAATTTTTTTACATCAGAGATCTTCTTTATTATCTACTAAATATATCAATTAGAAAATATTTCTCTATTAATATATTAATTATATATTTTAACTATTTATCTATGTTGCGGTATAACGTCTGGATTAATATACACATGTGCAAATTAGGCGAATAAAATCCGAACAAAATCTCTTGAGATGACATCGTAAAAATGCATTTGGCAACGCATACACTATTGCATCGACGAGTACAGTCGACGTGAAATGCATCGAGGACGTCTGTGGAATGCGGCTCGATTTTCTCCGGAGGCCCATGGTGTGTACGTTCGGTTCCCCTAATGGTTCCCGGCTCGAGCAGTATCCCCATAAGTCCGCGACCCTCTCGTCCCTCCGACCGCTCATTCTAATCAGAATCACCGGGTGGGCCGACCGTCAGCCGCAATCAAACGGTACCGATTACACACGCATACCGAGCGTCCGTTTCACGGTTACCAATCATGTTCATTTTATAAAAGCGTGGACGCAAAATAAGGCCGTTTTTCTCTTCTTCTCTTCAACATATGTAATAAAATAGATCGAAAACTTCGCATATTAATATAATATGCGGAATGTTGAAGAAATAAAATAAATATTGTTTTTTCAAAACTTTGGAACGCAATGCTTACATAATCTTTTCGAAATTACATCTTACACTTCATTATATATCTCTTACGTTTATTCAAATAAAATTCTAAAATAATACATATGTACGTATATATATTTGTAAAAATAAGATCTTACATGCATTTGTAACATTCAAGACCAATATACTTCTAATCGGTCATAATTGGAAAACTGTTCGCATTACGGTCCTTTCTTTTTCAAGGTAAAGTTTCTCCTATCTCCGTTTGATTATATTCATTAATTCATTTAATCTGATCATAATATAATTATTGGAACTTGAAGCACTTCGATAAATACTTCGCGAAAAATGGACAAAATGTAGCAAAAAAATATATAATAATGCTCTCCCGTTGTTTGACGAGAATGATAGGGATCGCGACCCGCTTTGATAATACGGGCTTCCGGTAATAATGCCATGATATATGCTACAAAGTGCGATCAAAGTTACAGTTACAGGTAGAATGCAGCAACGTTAACAGCAACCGCTTTTATTAACATTATATGTATATAAACAAATGTCCTGACTGACTGACTGACTCATTAACGCTCAGCCCAAACCTTACAAAGCTCCTAAACTTAGTAAAAATGAAATTCGGGGAGTATATTCTTTCCATGGCGTAATAAGCACACCCACTAAGAAGGAATTTTTAGAAATTTGACCCCTAAGGAAGTGAAAAGGGGTAAATTATGTTTTCACGGATTTCTCAATGTCTCTTAGGCCCGATGAGATATCGACTTGATTTTTTATTTAAAGTAGTTACATACCCGTAGCGAAGCATGGGTATCAAGTTAGTACGGTATATAAATCGCGCGCGCGCGCGCGCGCGCGCGCGATTATACCGTGTGTATAATTAGTATTAATTAGCTATGTACATAATTCGCGAGCAATAAATATTAATGGGAATGCAATTGCAATAAAATTCAACGGATTTCGCGTGCAACACGCTCGAGGTAGCCTCGAAATGTTATATTTATACGAGGACGTCTCTCTGAAACGCGAAACGAGGATATTATTCGAAATTCGTCCTGTAAAATCACGATTTCTATTGTAATAATTTTATTGCTTCTCGTAATTCCGTTTTCTTTCGTTTCTCGCCCAAAGGGCGAATTTTATCCACAATTTCCGAATCGCGTTGTAATCCCGAGACGCTCTCATATTTCATATCATCTCGTGCTCTTAGCTGTCGCATTATTTTACTTTAAATATAACCAGTCTCTCGCGCAAATTAATACTCGTAGATAGATAATGAGCTCTTAGGCTCTGTTTAATTTCAAATGCGCTCCAACGAGATTTCTTTAAGGCGTGACGTTCAAATTTATTAACAACAGAGAGGGCGAAGATGAATGTAGCATCTAACAGGCCCCGAATTGGTCGATGAATTTATAGATCCGGTTTCTAGAAATAAATCTTTGCTAACAATATCACAATCTTCCGTATATTACAAGATTAATCTGAAACAACGTACGATTTATCCGCAAGTGTATATTTCGCGTCGACAGCGTTGCGACGCGCGGCGTGCGTTTCGCCGAAAGTGTAGATTTAAAAGGCGATACACGCGCGCACACCCGCCGGACGGACGAGAGGCTTCATTCATACGGCGTTCATTAACGAAACGTGGCTGAATCGGTTCCCACAAACGTACACGCGATACGTGGCGCGATACGTCGACTCGCAGAAGGAGATAGGGAGGCAAGGAGGAGGAGGAGAAGTAGGAGGGGGGGAAGCGACGACGGGGAGGGTTCCTGCGAGGAGTTCTGCGTACTGCTCGTTATGCAAATGCAGATAGTAACGTCGTACACACGTTGCAGCGTGCCGTCGAGTGTCTGCAAGAGTCGTTACGCGATTCCGCGATTCGCTCCTTACGTGAGCCGCGATACGGATTACACGTATGACGTAGTGTCTGCCGAAAACAGATGCTATACTCTGCCCTCGAACAACGTCGGCTAAGAGCTTTTGAATTTTGATGAAATCATTTAATTCGAAATTAATCCGAACAAGTTTTTAATATACTATATACTTACGACGTCCGACTTTGGTCATGTTAAAAAAAATTTTATTTCTAAGAAATAGACGAGCAAAAATATCGCAATCAGGTTTTAAGAATCAATTTATTCATCTTTTGATTGATATATATAGCGACGGATTCTTTCGAGCAAATTCGAAAATATAACGCGAAGAAAAGCTAGACAAAATGTTGACTATTTATTAGTCGGCCATTTTTATTTTTTACTCATATTTTAATATTATCATTAACATCATCATATTTAATATTGCTTGATAGATTTTCTTGGACACACACACACACATAAAGTTGAAATTACGTAAAGTTCGACCAAGAAGCGGATGGATCCAAATCGGAAAGATTGAAAATAACTCGCTCTATATAGTACAATTTCTACTATCAAGCATGAATGAATGAACGAAATTATGAATGAAACGAGCCACCTCTTCTTTCTCGCTTCCGTTACCACCAGCATAAATCTCGCGATAAATTCATTTGTGTAATGATACTTTTCACTTTTCAAAATTGATTTTAATTTTAATAGATTCGCTTAAACAAAACTAAACATTTCGTTTTCGTTGTCGCAAAAAATGAGCGAGTTACATGAAATTTCAATCCCGAAAACAGCTAACAGAGAATCAGCCGAACCAGTTGGTCGTTACCGTTAATCGACACGTATATCCGAGCAACAATTGTTGCTTATATTTCGGAGTGTAGCGAACGCGGAACGATGACGAGGACGGCGTGGGTGACGGTACGCATCGCGCGCTGGACGTCGTTGGGGACGTCATATCCGGGCGCGGTAGGTCGATCCAAGGTGAGGAACGGCCGTGATCGGCCCTCTAATGAAGAAAATCTCGTCGTGCATTTTAAGGGACTTTGTCTCTCCTCCCCCCTCTCTCTCTCTGTCTCTGTCTCTCGCCGCTCCGCGCGTGTGTGTATACGTGCACCTGTATTCTTTCCCACCAACATCCCGACAGTGCGGCTCCCTTTGCCTCGCGAGATACGGATCCTCCGTCTTCCCCATCTCCGGAGGGAAGTATCGCGGATGCATAGCGATCGACAATGATATTATTCCGATTACGCGAATTACGTGACGCGGCAAAAGAATGACACCGGGTGCGCGATTAAAAATTATTGCAAAATCAAACCCATTAAAATTGCTGGAAGTGAATTCTCAATAGAAGCTCGTATTCATCGGGATTCTGCAGAAAAGGAACTTTCTCTCTCACGAGAGAGTCCGTATATTCAAAGAAAAAGAGTTTGGATTTTTCTGAGAGTGATTCTCTTGAGTTATCATACGTTATGTTACATATATGTTTCCCTCGAATTTTCTCTTACCTGGCTCGAAGTTCCTTTTCATTCGCCGCCATTGCCTGGCGTAGACGAGAGCTGAGCATCCCGCTACCAGGAAGAACACTATGCAGGCGCATACCGCGAGGACCAGAGCGCCGGTCTGCCAGTCCCACGGTAGATTGTCCTCGGCGACCGATTTTCTCCTCTCCCGAGGATCGTGTGCCGTCTGCGTCATAAAACCGACGTGTTAATCCTTAATCCTCAGTCCTCACCACGTTAACTCCACTCTGTAACTCTGTCTCTTTCGAAAGAAATTATTTAACACGCCGATAAGGTTTATCTTTTATCATTTACTTTCGTGACACGACGCGAAGTGCAACCGACTTCGGCAATGCGACTATACGCCGCATATTAAACAGAGCGAAAGCGCGCTACCAGCTTTCGCCGACTCGAAACACACATTGATCGTTCGACGCTTATTTAATCGTCAAACGGGGGATCGTCATCTTCTTCAGTGATTTTAACAAATCAATTAATTCTTGATCAACGCAATTCGAAACGATTAATCGAAACGAAAAATTAGTTCCTCCAATGTATACGTCCGTATCATACCGTTTCCCATAAAATTGAATTAAATTAGTTGAAATCTTTTCTCGATAACTGCTTTCCGATCCCAGCTACAAGTTTTTATACCCATTAAAATTAAAATATTAAAACAAAAACTGCAATTGGAATTACGAGAGAGCAAAGATTTAAAGTTCTATAAAATCCAAAATTACTTTTGATTCCCGCGAGGCGGAGACCGGCTTGTTGTCGCCTAAGCTTCCGTTGTCCTCGCGATCGAGGCTGACGAGATTACCGGCTTCCACGAAGGACCCTTCTTTCGTCCTTTCTTCGGGGAGCCGCAGGAGCACGTTCGAGGTGACGGCCCCGTCGTCATCGCCGGCCCGCGAGGGCCTCTTCCTGGCCGTCGACGACGGGAAGGACCAGTCGAGCTCGAGCGCCGACAGCGGGCCGCATGTCGCGTCCTTGTGAATCGCGCACGGGCTCAGGGTGAGCTCGGGGGCGCATCGGGTGCACGGCCAGCACGAGGCGCGTTCGGCGGACCAGAACTCCAGGCCAGGCTCGCAGAGCGGATGTGGCTGCTGCGACTGCGGCTGCGGTTGCTGCTGCGGCTGCGGCTGCGGCTGCTGGGCGCCGGATGTCGCGGCTCCGCCGGCGGCGGAGGACTCGCACAGGCCGACGAATACCGACACCAGGGTCAACAGCAACCCGGGACAAGATTCCCTCGGCATTACCTGCGATCATCGTCAGGCGCGACCGAAACTGATTAGACGGCTTTAATTTTTATAATCTCACAAGCGCGATCGGCCATCGATGTATGTCTCTCGGATCTCTTTCTCTTTCTTGTTATGTATCATTATGTAGAGTGATATTTGTGTCTTTGCATATAGAAATCGCGACGATCTACGTTTCGTTTGATAAATTAATTTAGTTATATATTTAATTGTAAACCATCAACTCATCAATTTAATTAATTAATTTTATTTATTTTTTGTTTGACAAGGTACATGTATGCATAACAAATTCGCGAAATATTAAATACAGTGCGTAATTGTAGGAAAAGTTAATCTAAATTGTAGAACAAGATGAGAAGAGTAATTTCATTTCAATCTTTGTTGCACGTATTTTCAAGATATCCGGGAGAGTTTGAATTAAATTAGACAGTTGTCTAGATATTTTGAATCCCGTAATATATAAAATAAAATTAACAAATAAATAAAAGGCAGAAGTAAGAACTCTATTCTTGACAAGGAGTAGGTAAAGAAGGACAAAACTACGTTTCGATTATTTTCAAAGTAAAACAGCAATCAGGTTTATAAAGCGATCAATCAATTTGTCATCTTTTACCGCTTTAAAATAATCAAACTGTCATTTCTCTCTCGAGATCTCTTCCGCTGAGATCGAAAGTTTCAAGTCCGAAAGCTGTCGTTCTTTCGCGTGGCGAAGAACGACGAAGCTCGATGGTCTCTCGCCGTCTCTCCGTCGCGTGTACGCGTCGCAAACGTAATGTGGAGAGGAGGCGGCGGCCGGCGACGGGTCGATCGCGGTCGATCGGCGTAATTCGAGCGTATAAAGCCGCTCTTTAGGCCGCAAAAGCGCTCGGACCGTTTCCACTTCCGGCTCGTTCGCGATGTAATTACATCCGCCGTTGAATCGCGATCCATCTACGTCATAGCCTCGTGGCCGGCCGTCTATGCGCCTTCGTTTCCGCGCACGAGCGAGCGTGTGTGCCGTTGCCATTGTGTGTGTGTGTGTGCGCGCGCGCGCACGTATGCGTGTACCGATCGTGTGTGGGTGCCGGAGGGCGCGAGTGCACAGAAAACTTTTATAGTCTGCCGATTTCGTCTGCGATCCGTATGCGGCGCGTATTGCGAGTCGCGTTCATCAGCACGCGCCTATCCGACGAGATTAATCTCCGTAATTAATACGCCGGAAACCCGCTGTGGCTAAAATTCGACCTCGATCCTCGATGTACTTCAGCTGTCGATCACGTATCTTAAACTGCGATTACGACAGCTGTGATGAATGTTTGTTTTTTTTTTTTTGTACTTTTTGCGAATTGTTGAGGATTATCGTGAGCGTAGAGATAAAGTCTTCATTGTTCGCTATCGAAATAATAGCGTACAAAATATCAAATGACATGATTTGAACATTTCGTTAATGAGTTGCTTACATTATAAGTATATCGAAACACTTGATTCACAAATTCACTTTATAGAACCAATGCAGTTCAAAAAAAATTAATAAAAACGTAAAATGCGTTTTATATTATAAACATAATTACAATTATGTTACAGTCACTGTTTAGATCAGACTACAGATTGGGAATATTGGGATTGAGATTGGATTAAAATTTGACCAATTAGAGCAAAGTTCACTAAACTTGAAGTTAGTTTTCTTTATTCTGATTGATTGAATTTCAATCCAATCTCAATCCTAATCCGTAGTCTGATCACGGCTTTATAGAATCAATATCGCGTATCCAAAACAAATTCACGTGGCTTTCAATATTAAAAATAAATCTGAGAGAAGAAAGTTCGGAGTTATACTTATTTACTAAATTCAGCATGCGTCAATCGACCGGAATAAGCTCGCGCGCTGTTTTAGTGGCTATAAATGCGTACACATCCGCCGAAAGTATATGTGCTTTTTCGTTATCTAACAGTGATTCGATAAAAATGCAAGTCCGAGGGGAGAGCGGAGGGAGGTCCTTTTTTGCGCGAATCGCGCAGAAAGGCGAGCGTTGTCTGAACGGAGGAGAAAAGACTGGAGGGACGTAAGTCTGTTAAGAATTTAGACACCGTTCAATTTTTTGATTGAGATCCGCCATATGTTTTAGACTATCCACGAAGAAATTTATATTTTATTTATTTACCGACCACACTCGGAATTGCTTTTATTTGAAACGTTAAATCTAATTCGTATTCTGACGTTACATCAGCACGGATTTCACAAGCAAAGCAAGAAATGGGAAATACAGAGAAGTCATCTCCGCGTATTCTTCCCCCTATTTCTTTCTTTTGAGTTGCAAATTAATTTGATAAATTTGTCAATATATAACAATCTGTAATGCAATTTCGCTCTTTACTGTCTACGAAGCTTACACACAATTAGCAATATATATTCGAATGTAAAAATCACGTCTATAAAATATGAATTTTATATATTTTATTTCATAGATTTACTTATTGTAGTAATATTTATACATATAAACTATATTGAATTAAATTCATTTTTTTCTCAATAAACTACATAGATATATTTGATTTGTACAAAACAAAAACAAGAGGAATGGCATCCAAATGCTTATTTGTCGAAGGGACGATCTTATTCAAGATCGTCTGTCTCAAGCTTGGTCGTAGACAGTCTTAAGACTCCGTCCAGTCAAAAAAATGACCGTACGGAGCGTCTCGAGGTCATATAGCTTTAAACGCGTAGATTTTGATGGATGATCTTATAAGATCGGATTATAATATGAATACCGGCCTAGAGAAACGATGCGCGATGATTCGTCTACACGCGCGGGGGAATCCGCGTGAAGCAGCGATCCTCCTCGCTCATTTCAAATCGCCGCTTGTCATATTTCTCTCGCGGGCACGCACGTAAGTATGTCCACGTACGTGCGCGCAATCGCGCGATCAGAATGCAACGCGACATATCCCCCCGCGGCCGTGATCCGCTCGCGGGACTCGCTCGCTCGCTCGCTCTCGTGGGACCCCGGCCGCTCGCTCGTTGCAAATGCAATCTTCCGCCGAGCTCATCTCCTCCGTGATTAGGATGCCAATTGCACGCCTCGAAAACGATTACGGACACGAGCGTCGTTGTCGCGGTGAGGCAACCCAGCTCCGCTCGTGTGCCGCGTGCGGGGGAGAGGCCATCACGACCACAACGAGAAACGGATCGTTCGCGTTCGCAATCTTGCTCGAAGAAGGGAATAGAACGAAAAATAGCGAAAAATAGTGAAATTCGCATTTCGAATCTGTCGCGGAATTCTGTGGAGTAATTTCGCTCGGCGGAATTGTGATTTTTCAGGAATACATAAAATTGCTGAATTTTAGAAATAACGAAAATCGTATGATATCGGTCTGTAACGTATGTACATTTATGATTGATCGTTTATTAAACGGTACTCTCGCCGCTGTCCCGTCGTCGTCGACAAATGGCTTAACACGGCCACATGTGTGCCTCTAATAATAGTAACTAAAAAACTGCCCTGACTCCAGGGAATAAGGGCCTAAACCGGTTTACATACGTTCTTCAATATTGCGTCTTATAGGTACGGACGCCGCGACGTTCTTTACGAGAAACGAATTTCTCGATCGCGTTCGACTTCGTGGAAATAAAATATCTTTCTTTGCAATTCCACGTAAAGTAAAAAAATAATTACGTAAGATCTTTTTATCATAATTCCAGTAATACTCATTATCATTAACTTAAAATCATTAAAAGCAACGTTTATTCGTTTAATAAACGTCTCAAACGTATTATGTGAATCAATTATATCAATTTAATATCATATTAAATTATATCGATTATTTCACGATTACCCGATATAGCACGATCTACTTTTTCGATAGAAGTATCTCCATCATCTCCTCTAGTTTCAACGAAAAATTCATAATCACAGAGTAAACGGAGCTTCAACGTAATGGATTCACTGAGGCAGTTACGAATTTATCTGCAGCTAGGAAGAGGGAGAATCCGCGACAGTGTTTTATGAGTAACGTCTGCCGAAGCGAAAGAATGCCGGCGCTTGATACGGCCGCACGTGTTCGCTTAATGACGCTAATAAGACGACTCTTTCCCTCCCCGGAATGCGTGTAAACAGTTTAAAGTGACGACCCGAATTACGTTTCGTCGTGGACAACGGCCATCCGTCATTACGAGCGGCAGCAACCATAGATAGTCCTGTTTCATTCAACGTTTAATATTTTTGACGTTACATATGTGAAATTGAATGAACAGGACATGGATAATATAGGTGTATACGAGCGAGAATCGCTTTCTCCAATTTTATATATTTTGTTCTATTCCTTGAATTTTTTAAACATTAAATTCAATATCTCAATAATTAAAAATCTTGATTCAATTAAATATTCCTTTGAATCTTAATAACTAAAATGGGGTCTTAAAAGTAAAGTGTAAAATTTTAAAAGTCAAGTATAAAAAGCCAAAAATATGTTGTTTCTTGTAAACTGTAAACGTATCAAATGCGTTTTTAATGCGTTTCGAACAAGAACTTACAAATATTAGTTTTAATCTGGTAACAATATGATACGATAGGCGAAATTCTTCTAGGGGAGGCAATGTGGTCGCTTGGAAAATCGTTTGCGCCACGTGCGATCTGGAATGTTCGCTACTTTTCCCACGCTCTCGTAAATAATACTCCCACCTGCTCAAGTGAGAGGATTCTGCGTTAATTCATCTCGATTCATCCTGAATTCTCGGAATACTTGCTCATCCCGAGGGACTTACGCGGCCGGATGAAAAGATTGGACTATATTTTATAACGTGATAAAATAATAACGATACGCATTTCAGAAAATATTTATACGTATAATACGCTCCCGCAGACATAAATACGCTTGCGTTTCTGTATTCGCTCTTGCACTTCTGAAATTTCAGTTAGCGAATTGTATTTCAAATGTAACCGTATAATTCAACTGTAATTCAAACATTACCGACAATCTCAATATTCACAAAAATATTTTTCATCTTGCAGAATTCGCATTATAATTTGCAGACGTAAATTCTGTATAAATAAATGAACGAAACGATTCTGATAGATTTACTCGAAATTGGCGATTCGCGTGGAAACAAATCCGAATACGGCAAACATCGAGAAATTTTTGGAGAATTTTCCAAAAAGATAAACAAATTCTCGCTATTATATTCATTCGCTATCGAGGAAACCACCGTTGAGATCGGCCGTTAACGTAGTCCCGGTTCTTAATTTTTACACTTTATCCGTGTAGCGGGCAAGTATCCTCCGATCGAAACGGGACGTTCATACGCGGGTTTATCTACGATCTTCGGTTGCGAGGAGGCACGATTCGACGGTGCTTTCGAGGAACTCATTGACGTGACTGCCGTGACACGAGGACGTGGCTCGCACAACGCGGGAAACCTAAATACTTGGCGGGCATGTCCGCGCCGACGGCGACAAAAGGCCGTTACACGACCATGCCGACGCGAGAATGTATAAATGAGCGTTTGAGTGATGCGAGGACGTCGTTTGACCCCCCCTTTTTCCCCCGTGTCCTAGCAGTTACGAAAAACAAAGATTTTGCAGTATTAATTATAATTTTAAAAAACTTCCTGAACAGCCGAATTATGCATTGTACATGTATTTCTTATTCTCTTGCTCACATGGCAAAATTGCTTGCAATTAGTGATAATTGATTTAATATTTTAGACAATTTCAATAGGCAGTTCAAAGTTGCCGATAGCAATCTTGTAACCAAAAATTTAGATCTATATTTTATAAATTGTATATTTAATATGTACATGTAATATATAATCTATATACTGAAAAAAATAAAATTTAGGTGATATACTATATAGTTATAATTATATAATTAAATATGATGTTCATTAAAAGTTAATCATGTCGATAATAATATACGTTAAAACGATAGTTTAATAATACAAAATTTTGAAAAAAAAGAGAAAAAATAGGGAGACCCCTATTAAATCAATATAAAATAAAGCATTCTTACAGCATTATAAAATTACATTAAACATGTAATTAAGCGCATTTTGTTAAATCAGTATTCCTTATTGTGGACGCGCTAATTTCAGTTCGACCGAAGAATTTATTGTTGAGATCGAGTTATCAGCTCCAAGCTACTCCGCAGGAAGTGTAACGAAGAGAAATTGTTGGAGTGTTCCACAAGTTTAGAACAGACGAGGTACAATCGTGCGAGACGGCGAACGGCAAGGACGAAGCGGCCAGTCGTCTCTGGCCTTTCGACGGGTATACCGGCCGGTCCAGCGCGCACGCGGTTTATTTCCAAGCGAGATCTTCAATAAACATCGAAAAAAATAGCTCCACTTTAGCGCGAGGATCCCGGCCACGTGTTTTATATACCATCGCGGCGCCACGTCGGGATCGATCGGATACGCGATGATAATAGCTCCCGGCGTTTCGGGGGAGGGAAAGGGAAGCGGATTTCGGGAAATCGACCGGTTTTGTTTATCCGGAAACCGAACGCAGACGCGAATCACGAGTTTAGCACACGCGACGCAACGTTTCGCCCCGCAAGCACGTCGTCGCACCTGTTCTCAACCGCGCCACGCGTTGATGTCCCGCGCGCGTGCAGGACTCGAACCTCGAACGCGACGATTGCGACTCGCGACTCGCGAGCGTCGTTCGGTGAGTTCGGTCAGGAAACGCGTCTGATCCGCGTGCGATGTCACGCGTTTTATTTACGATTATTGCGCGTCAGTCTGATAAAATTTAACACGTAATATATATCATGATAATTATACATATTATTTGGTGTAATATAATTATAGAATTAAAATAAATACTCGCTAAAAAATGAAATGTAACATTCCTTATATTTCAGTAGTTAAACTGCACGAACGATATTTCGATGAATTTTGGAATTTTGATTAACGATTTGGTCTTGGACGCGATCTCGCGCACAGTTTGCAGAACGATTGTTACTTTCCAAATCCTTTCCCAGCGAACTGTATGATATGAATATAAAATCATTATAGAGGCGTTATGTATTTGAAAGAAGTAATGACACAAAAAAAATATTACAAAAATGAAGAAAGAAAGTAACGAAGATATAAATAAAATTGTGTGATTTTCTATTTTGATAAAATAACAAAAACAGTGTGTTAATGTTGGAATTTTCAAAGAATGCGACAGAAATACGAAGGTTTCCATGACGAAAATCTCATTCAATAACGCAAGCCATATAGTATCGACTGCTCCTCTTTTTTTGTCGCACACAGGTACCTCGTTTCCGAAAATGGGGTAAAAAAATTAAGTTTTACATTTTCAGACATACGTCGGATACGACACATTTTCCCTCACGAGAGAGAAAGAGAGAGAGAGACGTATCGCAGACGTCGAGCAGAGCGCCCGCGATTTGTCGCACCGATCGAATTAGATCAACATCGTCGCCGCGCGCTGGCCAGCAACGGCCGCATACTCACGCTGCCTTCGGTGGTGTCGTGTCTGTCATGATGTAATCCGAGGCGACGTAGCCGACGAGGAGGAAGAGAAGGCGAAGGAGGACGAAGGGAGGAAGGACGCGTCGCTGCAGCCCCGAGTGACAATCTCCCGCGAATCGCCACTATGTCGCGGATCTACGGGGACGATCTTCAGCGTCGAACCGGCGATAACCGGTGATCGTCGGCCGTGCCGTCCGATTTTCCGACGGAGAGCAACACAGGAGAGGAGGCGAGAATAAAGAAATGAGAAAACAAAATTGAGAAAAACGGGAGGAAACGCGTCGTCAGCGTCGCGACGCCGCGCCGTCACGCTGTCATTCCTCGCGCCGCGACGATTGAATGAACGACGACGAGACGGGGCGAGCGTAAAAAACCGGAGCACCGGAGATTTTCTCCTCGCGATACACTTGGACGCAACAGACGGAAAACGTGCGTACCATCGCGCGGTCGCGACGCGACTAGTGTTATACTGATTTCCGCCCACGACCTAATCGCGCCGAGTCGGACGGACGGACGGATGGACGGGACAGAGAGAGAGAGAGAGAAAGAAAAAGAGGGAGCATTTCCTTCGTGCGCGTGGAAAGAGATGGGAGCGGGAGAGAAAGAGAGAGAGAGAGGCAGAGGAAGGTGAAGAGAAGGATATCGAGAGATGCAGGGACGTTTTATTGCCTTAGGCCCGCGATCTAGAGCGCCCGTGATTTATTGGGCGACTGAAAGAACTTCGGCCTCGCTCTGAGAACGTAATTTTGTAGGAAATTGTAACGCGTTCATTCGATTCAAAAAAATTTTGCATAAATGTTGCTTATAAACGTTGCAATAAATTCTGTATTGTAAAAAAAAAATCTTTTTATTACGCGGCCTGTAGATTTGATTATGATAAATCGTCACGAATTTCTCATCTTTGTTGTGTGTAAAAGTGTATGTATAAATTATGCAATTGCTTCATGTAGAAGCTTTATATTCCAGCGAATTAAATGAAAAGAGGAATATAGAAACGTTTGTACGATTCTGAAGGAAATATAACAATAACAATTGTAGGAGAATAGAAATATTTATAGACTAGTATAATCTTGTGGTAACATAGTAATAAAGTAAATTATTCAAGAGGAAAATATTATATTCGAAAATTATTTCTAAAACATGAAAGAAGAAAAAAGAAAGAAGATTTGCGCAGTCTTTACAAAAATTACACGTTTCCTTAAATATCTCTCTATGATGGATAATTAAAAGTGGATAATTAAAAGTTAACAAATTAAAACACATGAGATTTAATATAGATATACTTAACAGAGAGAGATTCGAGCACTTTATCTCCTTTAATTCCTTATAAAGTGCGACGGGCGTTGCTTTAATAAAAATAATCCACGATTTTTACACATGTTTTATTCATTTATTCGTAAAGAAGCAACCATACGGGCTCTGGGGGGTTCGTAAATGCGATAAAGCGGCCCTGAGGAGAGACGGAGGAAGCAGCGGGATCATTTGCGATCGGCACGGCCTGGTCGATAGGAGAGGAAATTCTCTCCGAATAGAGAGGAAGAAAAGAAGTTGCCGCGCGGGATCCGCGCGAGGGGGGACTGAAGGGCCCCGACAGGTTTCTGCGCCGCTCTCCGCGGCCTCACGTTGCAAGCGCACGATCTCCTCTCTTACCTGCGATGATTAAACCCGCGGGAGATAACAGCCTCGGAGCGCGGAGTGGTCCAGCGCGTCCTCCCGTCCCCTCCTAACACGATTCCCCTGCATTCCACGGTGGTATTAACCCTAGAGCCGAGCGGAATGTTGAACTAGCGACTGGCTGTGGCTGGCTGGCTGATGGCTGACTGGCTGGTCGCTTCTCATTACCTGTGATCCGAACGGAGAAAGAACGATTGTTATTAATTTAATAAATTTGACGTAAATCGTCGCACGGAGGGAAAAGAGCAAAAAAAAAATTATTGTTCTGTGATAGATATGCTATGCTCTATGGTGTAACAGTATGATTCACCTCGTAACTGTAGCGTGTAAATTATAATGCGTATCGAGTTTGATGGGCTACTTTTGAAACTGTATATTTATTTTTATGCAACAGTTTTACGCGATATTTTCACGTGATATTTTGAAATTCTGCTAGCGCGATGAAAACAAGTAAAATAGAACATCAATGGAAGAATTATCTTATAAAGGAAGATTTATATATTTGGAAAGACGAGCAGGGTCATCTTTTAAGTTTTTTTTTTTTTAAAGTCCCGCAAGCAGTCTTGATCAATTAATCCTTCTAACGCGGATTCGTAACCAGTCCAGATAATATCCACGTGACTCATTCTTCCCGTCAAATACTTTTCTATTTTTCAACGAGAACACTCGGTAAAATCACTTGAATTCGATCAATGATTAAAATTGACAAACAGACCGATCGGCGATCAACAAATAAAAATGCTGTCGTTAATTCGTCTCGTTGTTTTCCGATCCGTTTTCCTCGCGCGAAATCTCCTGGCAAAATTGATCGTACACCGTAGGTAAGACCGTAGAGCGCATCTCTCAAGTCGAATTGACCAGGAAGCCGTCGCCGTTAGATATTAGCGCGCGATATGTGCGTCTAATTATATCGAGCGGCATTATTAATCATCTCCGGAGTAACGTATCCCGCGCGATCTCTCGCGAGAAACCCGATCTCATTACGACTTTGTTGCATTCCTGGCTAATTATCGTCGCTGCACGTGGGTAAGCACGTGGCCGGCGCGGCGCGATCGTGCGCCCGCGCGCGCGCACTTTAATCAGCCCGGCGAATCTAGCTGAACGCGCAAATTGCGCGCACGCCATGCCGAATTGCATAATAGATCGGCCAGGGGCGATAACGCCCGTCGGTCTCTATCATTTCGGGTGCTTGATCGCGGGCGGGGCTCGTTACCGGCGGCGATCGCGCGATATCGTCCGGGACTTACAGGTGTAAATTTATTCCCGCGCCCCGCGCGCGCCGCGTCGAACGGGCTTTAATATATCGTTTCGTTCACGGCGGCGATCGTTATTCGCGCGCTCGCCGGCCCGCCGAGCGTTACGAGTCAGGAAACGGAATTAGGGAAACGGAAGGAAACGGGTGGAGAAGCGAGACTAGTTAACGGTGACGAAGCGTAGACACGTACGCGCGTTATCGCTCTCGGAAGCCTCTCGGCCAACAGGGCTAGCAGCGCCCAGGGCGGAAATCAAATTGTATCGACGATTCGCCAGGCTCGATTCGAGGCCTGGTTTTATAGGCCAAAATCTGAATTAATTTAAATTTATTCACCACACGCTCGTGTATTCTAAATCCTAAATTACAGCTTTGCCTCAAAATTATCACGTTTATCTTTGAAAAATGAAGTACATCCTGTATAGATATATATAATTAATATCTGAATTCTTTTATATTGCTAGTATATTGTTAATTAATATAGTGTGGTTTAACTTAATATCATTGCAGAATTTGGTATCTTTTACCTTTTAATTTTCTTGTTTTGTCTTTCATCCCATACAGCACACTTGTCCAAAAGTGGGACATAAGACGTCTAAAAGATGTCTTACTAAAAGATGGCTAAAAGCGTCGAAAAGACGTCTTATGTCACAATTTCGGACACGGTGCTGTCTGGGATATTATCTAATATTACCTAATATTATACGGGTACATCTCTATTACGTAATTATTTTTAGTCCAAGCACCGCGACGAAAAATGCAATTTAAATCTACTTGAATCGTCGAGTCCGCTTCTGAGTCGGTCCAGGCAATTCCTACGGGTTCGCACCAGGACACGTTTCCACTTCCTGTCTTTTCCCACGGCGGGATGTCCCAAAGTATCACCCCCGGCGTGATCTTGACACGCGTTTGCTGCGTTTAGTTCGGTAGACAGCATCTGGAGCTGGTCTGTCGTCGGTGCACGAAGGAGAGAGCTTACCTACTTCCTTCGCTCTCGCTCTCTCATTTTTTTCTCTCTCCCTCCCTCCTTCCGGCCGCTTCCGTATTTCTTTCTACGTTATTGTATCAAATATCGCCGACGGTTGTATCACATTAGATATTACAAAGGGAAATATGTAGAAAAGATGTAGAAATAGAAATATTAAATAACAAATTGCGCTTTAACAATAAATGTGGAACATTTGGGATTTATAGCGCAATGATGGTCTAAGTATTGTTTTTCTAGTTTTTCCCCCATCTCAGTTTTCAATTTAAATATATATACATAAATATAAATGTATATTTAATATTTCATATGTAAATAAAATTTATATATAATTTACGTATAAGTTACGTTTAATTGTAATATATTAAGTTATGTATAATGTTTGTATTAAAGTATTTAGATTGATTGTGTATAACTCTTGAAAAAAGATAGAAAAAATTTAAATCAACCTCGCACCAGATCCTTTACTTTCTGAAACGTGCAATATTTTAAGGCCTTGTTACAGAAGAAATAAAATATAAATAAGATAATTAAAAAAATTAACAATATGTATCCTAATAATGTGACAACAGTTATTATGATTTAAAAAATTTCACATACGAGTATCCCGAATTTCTCTCTTCCCACACTTGGATTCCTCGAACAATTTGGAAGTGATTTTTTACCTGCTTTAGAATTTCTAGAAAATTTCTAGAAACTAGAAATTTTCTCAAACTGACATAACCGTTATTACCATTTCATCCGTTGCTATTCTTAATATAGTTACTCACGCCAAAATTGACAATTTTGAATGCGCAAGAGCAATTAGATCTTTAACCCATCCCAATCGAGTGTCGCCAAGAAGGAAATTATTTTAATCGTATCCTGTGCGCGTGAAGTCTCGTGGCTTCCACTTTTCAACTGCCCGAAGAGCGGCAGAGTGGTAAGAAAGGAAAGGAAAGGAAGTACCGAAATAGACGAGAATATTCTTCATAATTCCGATCGAGGAGTAAAAAAAGAACTGTCGGGCGCGCTTGAAATATATCGTACGAGTCGCATCGCAAACTACAATTATAATATTATTCATCTACTGGATAGGCAAACTTTTAAATAAATTCCGCATTCTATTTCCCTTAAACGGTACAAATATCTCCTTGCATAATTAAACGGTCGTTAAAATGATTTCATTTCGAAACGAAAAAACGAGAGTAGAGAAGCGTTTTATTTTATATGTCAACCATAACGCATATTAACTGTATAAATTTCATTTTTTTTAATTTTATGGTTAATATCAATCAGGGGCACAAATGGAACGGTGAAGAGTTACGTGAAAAAATGTTTTTAAAAATTAATTTTATCCATCGCTACTTTACTGACTATTGATACGTTGTATTAGATTCGTTTTCTCTATATTTTGTGTTTTCTTTGGTTCAATTTTTGCCCACCCTTGTTTCGCTCTGCATCTGAATGTGTAGCGTATATAAATGCATACATGATTCCATTTAATTGCGAAAAAATTATAAACAATGATGAAAAATAATAAACAATCCAGCTAAAGAGAACGCATCTATTTTCTCTATTAAATAAGCTGATTACGAATATATATCCATTAAGGGCTGAAGCCGGCATCAGTAAGAGAGGGTAATAAAAATCGTGATAGGTATTTTCCTTGTCTAATTATGTAGTTGGTGGGACTTACTGTTGGGGAAAAAGAAAGAGGAGAAACGATCATATGGTTATCGAGACGTGGTTCACTTGTCCACGTGTGTCCTACTTGTTGCAGAAAGTGTAATATTATAATGCACAAATATATTTCTATATATAGAAATGGTTGGTTACTGTTATATTTGCAAAACCGAAGCAGGAGAAGAAAGTAACGTGTCCTTTCACAGGTAAGTATATTTATATTATAAATGTAGAATATATATATATATATATATGAATAATACATGATAAAATAAGAAATATTTTATTTATTATTTTCCACATTTTTTGGTAAAAATTATAAAATAAAATTCAATGTAGTTGTTGAAGTAATATTTGTATAATAAATATTTTTCTTTAAATTAGACGTATAAAATACATCAAAAGTTAATTTAGCTATAAAATGTTTAATCAGGGTAACAACATTATTTTTCAAATTGACTATATGTAAAAATGTTTGTTTTTTATGAAAGTTTATAGGTAAATTAACTATTTTATAACTTGTTTTTAAGGTTACCAAAAAATGAAGAGGTTAGAGCCAAGTGGAGTTCAATTATTGGTTGCCCGTTACGACCAACGAGTCGTACAATTTGCAGCAAGCACTTCCAAGAATCTGATTTTATCTATAAAATATATGGCAATGATGTCAGAAGATTTCTGAAAGCAGGAGCTTGGCCATCTGTACTGAGTATATTTCATATGAGTACACAATAAAAAAACACACACACACAGTTTTACGATACTATATATTGTTTTTATATTTTAGAAAAAATACCAAGAGCACTTTTAGTAATACAAATACTGACGAAGATAAAGATAATAAAAATATTAAAACGGAGCCAAGCGTGGCATCAGAAGATGAAGCATATGAATTCACAGAGAGGTCGGTTTCCATATAATAATTGTTTTATCTATTTCACATGTATACAAACACATATACATTTGTATATTATTTTAGAAGTGACACCGAACTATATACAAACGTAATATCAAATGCAGCACATGAAACCACAAATATTGAAGGAACTGCAATAGATTTTGGGATTGTAAAAGATGAACATCTAAGCATGTTAGTTTTCACGTAATAATATTTTTACCTATTTCATATACACACACATACATACTTTTATATATATATATTATTTTAGAAGTGACACCGAACTATATACAAACGAAATATCAAATGTAGCACATGAAACCACAAATACTGAAGGAACTGCAATAGATTTTGAGATTGTAAAAGATGAACATCTAAGCACGTTAGTTTTCACGTAATAATTATTTTATCTATTTCATATACACACACACACACACATACTTATATGTATTATTTTAGAAGTGACACCAAATTATATACAAGTGCAACATCAGACGTAACACATGAAACCACAAATATTGGGGAAACTATAATAGATAATGGAATTGTAAAATATGAATATCAAAAGAGGTTGGTTTTCATGTAATAACTGTTTTATCTATTTCACATATATACAAACATATATATATATATATATATATATATATATATATATATA